TTTTCTTAAAATATGAGTGATAAACCGAGAATCACAAAAATGAAATTGCTTACCTTTGTGTTTCCTCCCTTCAGTTCCACACGCTGCAGAATTACAGAAGTGGTTATTTTTGCAAAAGAACTTTTTTTCGCTCACAGAAAAAAAGCAAATGCAGCAAGAAATATGTTTTCTTGAGCCAAAAATGAGTTCTTAGGCCTTTTAGAAAGTGCCAGCAACCATGCTAATAATTAATGACATGTTTAAATGCTTAGTGCTGCACCAGCAATGTTTTCAAGAATCCCAACCTCTTAGTTTTTCTTGACGTTAGAGTTACACTTGTACAGCAAGAAAAATACAGTCTTCCTTTATCTTAGTGAGGAGGTGCATTGCACTGTTCACTTGGTGCCTGGATTGAAGTCGATGTCTGTGTCCATTTTTGGAAGCTCGAGTTTTTGAGCTTATGCTACAAATTCTGGCCTCACAGGTCATCCTGTAGCAAAGCTTTGTAAAGCTTTTTCTTCTTCTTTTTTCTTTGTTTAATCTCTAATGGTCCTGAGAACAATCGTGTTTTCTAGCTTTCAGCTGAACTACAACTTTCTTAAAAATACTGAAGCTTCTGATACCACATTCAGTCATAATAATAGGTACGTATTATGGGACAATTAATTGGATCATAGAAATTAATAACTAGATAAAATTCAAAGAGAAGCCATCTGCTCAGGCAGGACAGGGGTGAGGCAGGTTTCTGGGGGACATGAGGACAGCCAAGTTGGTGACACAATGAGGATGCAGGCTCTGGTGTGGACAGGCTGGGTCATTACCCATGGTAGCCGGAAATGCCTGGGAGAATGTAAGGCCAAGTGTGTGTTCAGGTCAAGTGACAATCTAAGAATAAGAAGTGGAAGACAGAGGTCAGGAGAGAGCAGAACAACTGCAGGGCCAGCCATACAGGACAACAAAAGAAAGAGCCACCATGTCCTTATGGGCAAGTGGGGGGCTTGAACTTTGTTCTGTCTTACCTGATTTCTGGCTGTCTGGTGTGTGAAAGGGCTGCTCGCTGGTGATGGTTTACGATCTCTCCCAACTGGACAGCATAAACAAAACCTACCTGTGCGACTATCTGCTATAAGCAGCCTTATGGCCCAGGCTCCACACAGGCTCATATTTAGAAAAAAGATCAACTGGACACCTAAAGTCTTGAATTGAAATACAGATCTCTAATGTAGGCTTGGGTGATGCAGGAATTCCACATCTTAAACGACACAGCAAGATTTCCCAGGATCCTATTTTGACATCTCTTTTCTGTTAGAGGGAACCCACTTCACACACTCAGGTACCACTCAGCAATACGGGTGATGCTTCCTCCTCCCCGGAGGGCAGAGGCTGATGGAGGTGCATCTCCTCTTCATCCCCTGGCTGGGTGATTCTGAGAAACACTCTTTTCCTTCCAAAGGGATGGAGAGTGGTTGCTGCCTGCAGTGGTGACCAGCTCAGGGATTCCTCTGCCATCTGACTCCCCTCCCACCCTGCTGGCCACCCACTGGCCCCTTACCCCTTTTTCCTGGGATTATTTTCCAAATAAATGTCCTGACTGAGCTCTCCAGCCCTGGTTTTGGGAAGGGAGACACAGGCCAAACGTCACATTCTTTCTGGGTATTTTAGCACCTCTGGTTTACTGAGGTGTGACAAATCTTATCCAATTTATCCAATTAAGGTTTGCGAAATTGTGAACTTGACTGAGGGAAACTATTCCAGCAAAGGATGGGCATAAGAACACCAGATAATAGGTAGTAAAAGCTGCTATTTTGGCTTCCATGGGGTATTGAGGAAAGAAGACGGGTCTTAGAAGGGTCTGCTGACAAGCGCAGTGCTGTGCTGTGCCCATGGTGACCACCGTTCCTCTTCTGTGTGCCCACGGCTGTCAGTGCCCCGGACATGCCCATGGTGACCACAGTTCCTCTTCTGTGTGCTCACGGCTGTCAGTGCCCCGGACATGCCCATGGTGACCACAGTTCCTCTTCTGTGTGCTCACGGCTGTCAGTGCCCCGGACATGCCCATGGTGACCACAGTTCCTCTTCTGTGTGCTCATGGTTGTCAGTGCCCTGGACACGCCTTCCATGCTCAATGCCAGTATGCCCACTTTCTAGATGGAGAAACTGGCATTTCAAGAAGATGAGGAGTGGCCGGGCACGGTGGCTCAAGCCTATAGTCCCAGCACTTTGGGAGGCCGAGACGGGCGCATCACGAGGTCAGGAGATCGAGACCATCCTGACTAACACGGTGAAACCCTGTCTCTACTAAAAAATACAAAAAAACTAGCTGGGCGAGGTGGCGCCTGTAGTCCCAGCTACTCCGGAGGCTGAGGCAGGAGAATGGCATAAATCCAGGAGGCGGAGCTTGCAGTGAGCTGAGATCCGGCCACTGCACTCCAGCCTGAGCGACAGAGCCAGACTCCGTCTCAAAAAAAAAAAAAAAAAAAAGAAGAAGATGAGGAGCTTGTTGAATGTAAGCAAGTAAAGGTCGGATGTGAGGGAGTGGAGTTAAACTCACCCGGCCTGCCTCTGAGGCTGGCATCCTCTCCACCATATCATGCTGCACTGCCCACCCTCCTAGATAGGCCTCGGTGGCTCTTCAGGAGCCCACATTTTCATACTCTCAGAAGAGAAACTAAAGCTGTCCAAGGACTAAGGATAATACTCAAGACATTTTTGGCGTGAGCCATTGAGCAACAGAGTCCACAGGAGCTAGGGGCAGCCAGATGGAATCAGCCACTGAGATCTGGGGCGTCTAATCCAGACACGACAGTGTCTGTTGCACTCAGCCTCTGCCCCCGTGAAACAAGAAGAAGATCCCCAGCTGAGGGAGAGGCATCAGTCATGGTCCTAGGTTCTGAGGGTCTTCACACCAGCATCGGCTTTGTGCCAAGGATCTAGACTTTGCCATTTCTGTCAACTTCTCAGAAAAAGCACCAGCAGCTCTTGTCTTGCCAACCATCTTTAAGAAAGGTGACCAGCCAGCTCCACTAAGGAAGGCGCTGCCAGCACTCTGAGCCTGCCCTTGCCTCCTACAATGCTAGGCAGCACATAGAATAAGCTCATTTCAGAGGTGAGGAAATCCAGGTGCTGTTAATCAGGATAGAGTGTGAGAGAGAGCAGCAGACACTTGCCTCCAGCCCAGGCTTGGCTGGCTCTGAGATGTGAGCTTCTACTCTCGCAGGGAAGCATTCAGCTGATGCCTGACAGACAACCCCTATTAATGTTGGCTACTGGGGACCCCACCCCACTTCTCACAAGCAATGTGAAGACAGAAGAGCCACTCTGTTCTCAAAATTCAGCTTCTTCGTCTTCCTGGAATCATTCCAAATGGCCCCACGGAGCGTAAGATTCAATGAGGTTATATTTATAAAGAACTTATCTCATTTCTAGACATGGTAATTGAAAAAAAGGCCACAGATTCCTCCTGTCACTCACTGCAAGCCCACTTCCAATGTGACTTTATAGCCACAGTACAGGATATCTCCCCAACTCCTGAATCTGGCCTGGGCCACTTGATCTGCTTTGGTCAATGAGATGATGTGATGTCACCCTGAAGAGTCATGCACATTGAGGCTTGCCTTCCCTCATTGCTATCGGGCACCCCGAAGCCACCACTGGGTGAAGAACTCTGAGCCAGCCTACAGGAAAAGGAGAGACATGGCCCATAGCCAGCCTACTCCCAGAAATGTAAGGTCTTTGGCTGCCAGCTGACCGCAGATGCCTGAGTGAGCCCAGACAGCACTGTGTGAGGCAGAGGCAATCCATCCCAGATGGCTCAGCCCATATCATCAACCCACAGCACTGTGAGCAAATCAATGATTATCATTTTAAGCCACTGAGTTTCGGAGTAGTTTGCTCAGTAGCAACAGATAACTGATACACCAGCACTATAGAAGTTGCTTAAAACATAGTATCTTTCTCTCCTCCTTGTTTCTTTCCAAAGTGCTGTAACGAATGCATGGGCAACACTGCTGATGCTGGAACTGAGCAGACCCAGACGTGCACTTGACCCTCTACTTTGGGAGGCTGAGGCAAGAGGATCATTGAGAAGTTTGAAACCAGCTTGGGTAACATGGCAAAACCCATGTCTCCACACAAAAAGAGAAAAACTACAAAAATTTTCCGGGCATGGTGCTGTGTCTGTAGTCCCAACTACTCAGGAGGCTGAGGTGAAAGGATCACTTGAGTCCAGGAAGTTGAGGCTGCAGTGAGCCACGACTGTGCCAGTGCACTGCAGCCTGGGCCACAGCGCAACACTCTGTCTCAAAAAACACATTTACCTACATAACAAAACTGCGCATCCTGCACATGTACCCCTGAACTTAAAAGTTGAGAGTTAAAAAAAAAATGTTAGCTGGAAGGTGTGGCAGCTTGCTCGGTGCCTGAGTGACAGTTCTTCCCAGCACAGGAGGTGGTCCACAGACCTCTCTTAACTCTGAAAGTTCTGTAACTTCCTCTGAGATAAGCATTGTTGAGGTTACCCCAATTTCCAAGAGACTTGGTAATTTCTACTGTGTCCCATTGCCTAATATGTGACAGCTCCTCGCTGACTTTCTTGGAAGTCTCTATTTCAATGCTATATGACAGCATACTAGATAATATTTCAAGCCACAATAAGGGAATCACAGGTAAGAGAAACTGCCCATCTGGTGTGCTGGGCCACTGAGGTTCCCACCAGGAGCCCTTTTGAGCTGCTGCATCTCCCAGGAGTGGGTGACATCCGTCTCTTTACATACACGTCCCGGCCCTGTGAGTTTCTTTTGCAACGAAGTGCAAGGCCCATTTGAATTGCATAAACACTAAGGGGTGTGTGTGTGTGTGTGTGTGTGTGTGTGTGTGTGTGTGTGTTGGAGGGGGGTGTCAAGAAAAGACAACAGACAAGACACCTGGGGATCTTGCAGCTAAGTGAGCAGCATGGGACAAATAAAAATAATAGTATATTTTTAAATCCACTACATTGATTTCATGAATTTTCTTCCTTTTTCTCTCAAACTACTGTCTTTCTTCAACAGACATCAATTTCTTGACACCAAAATCCAACGTGGTTTGTTTTCAGTAACTATCAGCTGCTAGGTATTTGTTCAGCACTTGGGATGTACCCAGGCAAAGAGATGTGCAAGTATAAAACAAGGGAGCCCACCCTGCAACTGGGAAAGAGGAGTTACATGTTCATTCCAAAACAGAGAAACAATGTAAAAACAGGAAAAAAAGAAAGAAAGAAAGAAAGAAAGAAAGAAAAAAAGTATCCATGCTCAACTCATCAGCTGGGGAAGCCTGTGTGTAAAGTTCTGAAGCCTGAAAACTTTCAAAGAATCAAGGGTATAAAGGGTCCAGAAGAACTCAATACAGGACACAAGGACACAATTGCAAAAGTATTTTCTTCCTTTAATTTCTGCAACCCTCACTTTTGGAGGGAACACAGCCAGCGGTGACCTGGGGCCCCACGGGTTAGGCTGCACTCAACAAGGTGCCTGCTTGCTATATTAGGAAGAGTCCACTTTCAAATTCAAACTGCACCCAGGAGACAAAGGCGAGTCCTGGCTGTAGCCCAGGCAGGTGTTCTCTTGTCAAAACAAAACCTGCCTCAAAAGTCAATTCAGAGACTGGGCAAGTGAAAGAGCAGTGACTTAGAGGCAGGGAACCGAGCTTGAGGCTACTCCTGCACATTGGGTCACTACGGAATCGTAATTACCCTTTTAAAACTTCAATTCCTTCGTCTGATAAATGGGATCAATGACGCTCCACCTCAAATGGGTCTAACAGTATTTGCTCAACCTAATGGCTTAGATGGGAAACTGCTTTATTCAGGAAAGGGCTCCGGAACAGTAAGCTGCTTTACTAAGGTGTGGTGGCATGTTCTTCCAAGTTGAGAAGTTCTGCTAGATGGGAGAAATGAACAGTGCCCGTTTCTGAGTGTTCCAGACTACAGCCTTGCAGCTCCGGAGACCTAAGGGAAGAAACATCAGGCATGTCTCGCGGGGCTGCAGACATGAAGATGGGGATGGAATTCAGGTGATGGTACTGGTTGCACTCACCTGCTCCTCCTTCAAATGCCTCCTTCTGGCACTCTGCATTTCAGCATTCTCTTTGGACTGTGGAGGCTCCCCAGAAGCCACGTCACCTGAAAGGAACATAGGAAGGACCTCTTGTTCCCGGCACCACCTTTAACTCCTGCCCCTGCCCACCAGGACACCTGGGCAAGACGCATCGCAATGGTGGGTTACCAGGCAGGAGGGAGGGCTCTAGGAGGGTTGGGAGCTGTGGAACCCTGGAGCTTAACCTTTTCTGACCACCAGAGAAGGAGACTGCGGTGGCAGGACTGGGGCCTCTGCCTAGTGTTGAAACGGGAGCGCACAGATGCTTTTCTAAATAACTTTTGACCCCCTTTCTGGTAAATCTTTTTTTCATACTTGATTCTCTATGAAATCTAGACTGCAAACACCACCTCCTCCCCTCCTAGAACGCAGACTGGCTTACCACCGCCCTAGTTTCCTTCCAATTCCAACTGGGGCGGGCCCGCCATGGGCCAACAGCAGGCTAGCTCAGGGCTGAGGGGGCCTCTGGAGTCTGAACTCCGCGCCCGCTTGCTCCTCCATGGCTTAGCTGGTCAGGACTTGAACATTCGCCGGACCCATAAATTGGGTCATTTTGAACCTCAAAACCGAACCGGAGCCTGGGGAGGCCTTTAGGACCGAGGGGAGCCATCCCTTCCTCTAGTCGGGCAGCAAATTCCTGTCCTCCTAGTCCCCCGCAGTTATCCCCCGCCCCCAGCCTCTGTGGCCCTCATTGTCAGACACCGGCCCCGGGCCACCTTCTGGACGGGCTCCCCCGCTAGGGCCTCCCTGGTCTGGGGCAAAGTTGGTGGCCACCTTCGCGCGGGCTGCGCCTTCCTCCTCTTCCCTGTCCTCCTCCCCCGGAGCCCGCGCCCGCCTCCTCCAGCACGCGCGTTGCCAGGCTCCGCAAGCTAAGCTGAGCGGCTGGCCCCAGGGCGCCCCTAGCCCAGCTTGCCGGCCAGGCGCGTGCGACGATAGTCTCCCAGCACCCCTTCCTCTCCCGAGAGGACTGGGCTCCGCCCCGGCGCCGCAGCTCCCGACTCCCCGCCGCTCGGGCTGCAGCCGCTGCCCCGCGCCCGGCGCTCGGGGCAGCCGGGGGCGCTGGCGGCTAGCGCAGGGCGGGGAGCGGCGGGGGGAGCGGAGCGGCGCAGAAGGGAGGGCAGAGGAGGAGAGAGCCTGGGAGCGGAGGAGCAGAGGCGGGCGCCGCACCGCCCCGCATGCTCGCTCGCTGGATAGACTCGCGGGCGGGCGCTTGGGCGCACTTGCCGGGTCACCTTGTCCCGGAGGTAAGTCCCGACCTCCAGGCCGCGGGGGCGGGCGGAGGGGCCCGCAGTGGGCGGGGTCGCGGCGGGGGCAGCGAGCTGGCGGCGGGAGCGGGAGGCTGCCGGGCGCTGGCGGGTGTCCTAGTCCTGGCTCCGCCTCGGAGCGCGCAGACCCGGCGGCGGCGTGGCGCCCGCGGTAAGTCCGGGTGGTCGCCAGGACGAGACTTGGGAGACACGGGGTAGGCGGGCGGGAGGAAGAGCTGAGCCGGCGGAGAAGATGCTGAGGAAAGGGTCGGTGCTGGCCCGGGCTGCACCTTGGTGCCTTGCCACCCCGGGAGACGCGAAGGGGCTGCTGTACGAAGTCGATGGGAGCTGCTGAGACCGAGAACTGGTAGCGTAGTGGAGCCAGGCTGCCCAGCAGGGCCATGGGGGCGCGCGGCGGGCCAAGGCTCTGCGGGTTCGCGCTACCCCTCGGAGTGACCCGAAGGAGACCAGCCGGGGCTGGTGAGCCGGGCGGCCGCGGAGCTGGGGACCTAGGTCTGTTTGGGAGTAGGAAGGGAAACAGACTAATCCTCCGAGCGGAGCGGCAGGCAAGGTGCAAGCGCGCTTGGGATGGGGAATCCCGACGGGCGACCGGGGCGGAAGCAGGGACTCCGGGAGCCTCCTTCCTCTAGCCAGGGCAAGACCTGCCTTCGAAAGCTGTCTGGCCCCTGGCAGCCGCGACAACCTGCAGCCCTGGGAGCCAAAGCCCCGGCGCCGAGAAGGGAGCGAGCACATATGCTGTTTTGGTTCCAGTTTGAATCTCGCTTTTTCCTAGTCGTGATTTCTGCCTCTTCGTGTGCGCTCTCTGGGCAGTGGGGAGGAAGGAATGGCTCACTAGATGAGTTGGGCACTTTTCTTAGGGAAGGGGCTTTGGTCCCTTTGCGCTTTTTGCAAGACCCTAGTAGAGTGGCTCTGGCAGCCGAGCTTTGAGGAGGCGGCCAGAGGGGCCGTTTGGCATCTCTGAAAGACGAGAGGAAGGAGTCTTCTGGTAGTCCTGTTTTCCTTTGGGGGTTTCCTTGCACGCAGAGGTTTGGGCGCTTGGCACCCCGACTTAAGGTGCGCACAGTCCTCCTGCGACATCAGATGCGCTGGCGCCGCGGCTCTCCTGGCTCGGACCGATGCCTGCGACTTCCCTGGCCATGTCCTGGTGTTTAGTGCAGCAGACACCGGCCGAAGGCTTGGCTGATCGGGGGTGTCGGGGAGGGGAGGGCTGGGCATTACACAGTGGCTCCGTTTTCTGGTTGGAATCAGTTGGTGGGGCGTGCTCGCACGCGTCTGTGTATCTGTCCGTTCCCCTCCTACAGCCCAGCGTGTTTGGTCTGAGTCCAAAGAAGGAGGTGGTGTGTGTGCTGCGTAGACCTGCGCCTGTGGGGTGAGCAGCCTCATAACAGCCCCTAGAGCCGGCCAACTTCTCAGTGCTAGGCTGCGACCTCAGGGGCCGCCGCGTCGGGGATCGGAAGTGGTCTTCAAAGAGGGGTCTGGCTCTGGAAGTCCTGGCAGCAGCCGAAGTGAAAAGGAGCTGCCAGGAGGCGGGCGGGCAGTCTGATGTCCGTTCTGGCGCGGACAGGAAGAAACTGAAGTCGAATTTTTAGATGAATTGCGTGCTGTGTTTGGCGGTAGTGTGGCCCGTTCTTTTGGAGGTCCACACCACAGGTGTGAGGCCTGTGGGCCCTGAGGAAGCGCCCTCCCCTTGTTTTCTCCCTCCCCTCTCTCTCCATCTCTCCACCGCCAGCCCCTTTCTTTGCGAGGAGCAAGCCTGACTTAGTAGCTGATCGGCGCCCTCTCTCACCCTGCCCCCGTATCCTGCATGAAAACGGAATCCTCATAATCAAGAGGGCCTTGTTTAAAAAAAGATGGAGAAATCTATTTTTAAATTTTTTATTATGGAAAATTTCAGTGGTACACAGTGGCAGACAGAGAATAGTGCCCTGAAGCTTTGTGTACCCCCCACCCAGTCACCACCTGCAGTTACCTTTTGTAGAGTTTTGGAGGCCTTATTTGATGAAGTATTTCAAAACTCATTCCAAAATGCTAAGTATTGGATAGTATGTTAATTAGCTCCATTCAGCCATGACACATTGTACACACATATCACAGCATCGCTTTGTACCCCATAAACATATACAATTATAATTTGTTAATGTCTGATAAAATAAACTAATTCATTAAAAATACAAAATTACTTTGATATAAACTTCAAAAAAAAAAAAATTCCAAACTCACCTCACCTCTAAACACATCCCTCTGTAACTCCAGCTGATGACATTTCATTTTATGTTACCTATCAGAAATGTCAGTTTTTAATAACCCCATTAGAGTATAGGTGATATTAAAATAAAAATGAAGGCCCCCTCCATTCCCATTTTAGAGTAGAAAAGGAAAACCTGCTAACTCTCCTTAAGGCGTACAGGGGCGAGATATTGAAGGAAAGACAAGTCCAGATCTCTGGAAGAGAGACATGTTAGCAATAGGACCAGACTTATCCTAATTCATGCAGGGTGTAAACATGATTCTGGTTGAGTCATGATAGGCAAGATAATTTTTTTTTGATAAAAACTTTAAAACTCAGTTCAAAAATTATAAGCAATTAATTTCTTCCACATTTAACATTGAGATAAAGGTGCTCTACCAGACTTATTTTTCTCATTAATTTTAAATCATACTTTCTAGGGAGTTATTACTATTATCAGAGAATAGAAAGTTATTTTCTTATGTAAGATTTCTATCTGAGGCACTAGTCGGTGCTATGCTGAGGTTCATGGAGCGTACTGAACATTTCATTGTTTAATTAGAAAATGTTTGGTCGTCCTCCAGGTCACACCTGCTCTGCCCTCTGAAGAGGCTCTGGGCTTGCTGAGATGTGATGTCTAGTGTGACTTTTACTGGCTGGAGAGGTGTGGCACACAGGGAGGCACTGGAGGCAGTGGGAGGGGATGCCCTCCCTCCACCAGCCCCCTCCCATCCTGCACACCTCTGTGCTTTCCTTTATATAAAAGCAGTTCCTAAAAATTGTCAATGACGTTCTTAGAGGAGTCAGTCAGACTTTTGAGTACCTTTATAAAGTGCACTATTTAAAGGCGTCCTTAGTTAACCTCTTGTAAGGTGAATAACCATCTTGTAGGTGAGCAGTTTTATGTCCTGTCACCCCATCCCCAAATAAAACCTTGTCTTTTCATGACTCCAGCTTGGCCTGTGCCCCTCACATTGGCCTTTCAGATCCTCATGCACATTGGAAAATGCAGGTTCCATCTCAGAGTGAACGCACTGCTGTGGCCTATAGTTTGAACAGATGTCACATTATCAGCAAAATTCTTTGAATGAGTGGGTAAAGTGGCAAGGACTGAAGTATGGGGTGTTATTTTGACAACACCAGCAAAACACGGGGGGTAAGTGACTAGCAGAACAGCCTGTTGTATCAGTGGAAAGTTGCATAAGGTCATTTTGGGGCAGTGCATTGATAGAAGTTTTTGGAGCCATAGCTCTTGACTCAGCATCACTACACTAGAGGCATGGTGTCAAAATCTCTACAAAGCAGTACCGAAAACAGTAGAGATAGGCTGACCAGGTCTCTAACCACATCACTGGAATTAGAATAATGAAGTTGGCAGTGGGAGGTTTGAAAAATGTGGTTTCTCAGCATTCTCTATGCAAGATGCCTATTTTGAATGATTCCTAAGAGATCCTAAACTTGTGTTCAGAGAGCAGCTGAAGTAACCCGGGCACCAGCTATGATTCAGTGCCCTCGTGACTGCTTTGCTTACATCCAGGCAGCATATTGGATTGTGCGGAGAGTGGAGGAGGGATGCCCTGGGGAGACAGGTGTGCAGAGTATCTCCTGTCCCCAGGCTGCTCCCTCTTTCCCCTTGGGCCTTCCCTGAGTGCCATGAGCAGACATAGGCTCCAGAATCTGAAAGGTCCCATTTGTTTTCTCAGAATGCCATGTGAATACAAACTTTACCCAGAGAAACTTTGAGACAATGAAATGTCCTCAATCCAGTGTCTTTTTCGTTTAACAAACTGTGACAACATTAATGCTTGGTTTTCAAAATCCTGGAAAGAATATGGTTGAAAAGAAACGATCTCAGAAAAGTGACGTGGTTTGTCTAAGATCATTCAGCTAGCAAGCAGCAGAGCCCAGAGTCTGGAGCCTACAACCTGTCATTGGCAAGGGTGAGGATTGGGACAGTGCGTTTGCACTCACTTGGGGTGGACGGACACATGCGCAGGAATGTGCCCAGGGTGCACACATAGCCATGTGGGCTAAAGATTTATGAGAATGTATAGGAAAGGCATGTGAGCAATAGCTTATGAAATTTAGCCTTAACATAACTAAATTTAGATTCATATTACCTTATAAACTTACGTGATGCATTCTCTAAGATGGAAACATTTTTAAAACAGATTACCAACAAACCACCACCCTCCATTTGTAATATGTGATGATTCAAGATGCAAGCATGATTCAGATAACAAAATGTAAATCTTCTTAAACTATTGTATGATAAATGACCTGTTAAATTACCAAAAACAAAGAAAAATAGAAATTCTAAAGAACAACAACAGATAAGCTTCGGGATCAAAAATAACTGTTAGAACCAAAAATAACAGAACCAGGAAACATTATACACAGGTAGAAAATAATAAAAATAAAAGCTGCTTCCAAAGGCACAACCCAGGGGATAACCGCCTGTTTAGTTACGTAAAAATAATTTAAGAGTTCAGTTAGCATTATTTCAGAGGCATGGGCCTTTTGCTCTGGAAGTTGCAATCAGTGTTCAGTGTGAAAACACTTTTTGCTTGGTTTTTAGTTCTTAACTGAATTTTGTGTCAATAAAATTCATTTTTAAATACTGGTGTGGCATTTAGAGAATGAGTCTGAAGGAGAGAGTACTTGTGTGGATTTTAAACTGGGTGTTTCATAAAGGGCTCACTTAGGGTAAATTTCTATTTTGAACAATTCTTAGGTCTCCAACAAGTTCAGCTGTTATCTATCACTTGACCTCACTGGGCAGGCACTTTCAGATGTTACCTCCATCTGTTACTTCCTTAGGTTTCCTCTCTTTCAGAAAACTTCAGTGCCCAAAACAAAACCGGAAAGCAAACACATTTCAGATAATTCTAACTACAAAAGTTTTATTCCATTGCCTCAACTTTAAACTACAGATCTTTCTGAAAGGGAGATACAGTAATCTTACCTCAAATACATTTGGAACCACCCCCCACGCCTCTGCTTGGAAAAGCAAATAAATGAAGTGTTATAGAAACTCACTCTTCTGTCATGCATACAATAGTCAGTTTTTAACTTCCTCCTATAGGAGGAAGTTGGTCTTCAGATGTTGGTGGTACAGACCCTCAGCTGGCGTGGGTCTGAGAGACAGGAGTTTATCCCTGAAGATCCTAATGGGATTAAGTCCTGGGACAGTTTCCTAGTGGAAACCCAGTAGCCATGCTTGGGGGTGGCCTGAGGCATTAGCTTTAGGGTAGACCCCGGGGAAGCCCAATTCATCCTACAAAAGATTGGTACCAATTCCACTGTTAATTATTTGCGGTTTCTCAAAGTGCATTTAATAAAGCCTATGTGTTTCTGTAGCCAACCTTCATGTCTGACATCTCAGCCTCAGCCCATCACCCATGTGTCTCCTTTATAAGAAACCTTGTTGTTTCGTTGAGTGCCCCATGGGATAATGGCACAGCACGAGTAGGGCAGTCGAAAGAGTCGAGATGTGATAGGTGGTGTGCATGGTTTCTGAGATGCTGTCTAAGCGCTGGGACTGGCCTGGGCTGGTAGGCATAGATGATTGACTGTCACAGATTGACTGTAAGAGGCACTCATCTGCTGCAGATCTCCCGTGGAAACCCTGTATTTATGAGGACCTTGGAGAGGACCCTGCACCGGGCAGTCCCACCAATCCTAACCCAGTCTTGGAATGCTTTCAGATACCTCTTGCCTCTTTTGGCTTTACTTTTCTCTCCCAATTCCTCACCGTTTCCATAGTGCCTTTGTGACAAGTGGCTCCACAACAAAGAACTATGAGCTGATTAATGTGCATAGTGTCTTTTTTTTTTTTTAAATGGCATCTCACTCTGTCACCCAGGCTGGAGTGCAGTGGCACGATCTCAGCTTACTGCAACCTCCACCTCCTGGGTTCAAGCGATTCTTCTGCCTCAACCTCCCAAGTATCTGGTACTACAGGTGCACTCCACCATACCTGGCTAATTTTTCTATTTTTAGTAGAGACAGGGTTTTCACCATGTTGGCCAGGCTAGTCTCGAACTCCTGACCTCAAGTGATCTGCCCTCTTAGCTTCCCAAAGAGCTGGAATTACAGGCATGAACCACTGTGCCCAGCTTAATGTGCATAGTATCTTAACAGTTTTTTTCTTATATACTAAACCTAGAGATACAGCTCATTCATTTCAGTACTCTAATAATAGTTTAGTGCTCTAAATTCCCTCACAAAAACAGGTTTTTGTTGAAAGCTAACTTTGAGTCAAGGGAAATAATCTTCTTTGTTATGTCTAAGTTTATTCTCTGCCCTTCATTCTTATCCTGACCTTTAAAAGCTGTGGATATTGGCCGGGTGCGGTGTCTCACGCCTGTAATCCCAGCACTTTGGGAGGCTAAGGCGGGCAGATCACTTGAGGTCAGGAGTTCAAGACCAATCTGACTAACATGGTGAAACCCCATCTCTACTAAAAATAACAAAAAATTAGCTGGGCTTGGTGGCGGGCACCCCTAGTCCCAGGTACTCAGGAGGCTGAGGCAGGGGAATGGCGTGAACCCGGGAAGCGGAGTTTGCAGTGAACCGAGATCCGAGATTGTGCCACTACACTCCAGCCTGGATGACAGAGCGAGACTCCATCTCAAAAAAAAACCAAAAAAAACCTGTGGATATTATATTAAGTATCACACCTTCACACAGTCCATTGTTTTCACTTTGTTCACAATGGGATCACTAACTGGAAGCCTCTCCTAACTGGTCTGGACTTGGCAAGGACCCTACAGCCTGCAGCACAGCTGTCTATCCCACTCAAGTGGCCTGGAACAAGGAGGGTCATTTGTCCAGCTGCATTTCTGTCCTTCTGCCATCCGCTCATCCGCTGTGGCCTTGCTCGTGTGGGTCCTCTTGTGTAAGATTCGTTGGTACACTTGCTAATCTGAATGTTCTGGGTGTAGCTGTATTAGCTGTGAATCGGAGCCCTGGATGTATTTGAGGACATCACAGTCTATTTTAGAACCATAGAGATGAAATGTATCTCTTGACTCAATATGTGCAGAATTCGGTAGCTTCCTTCCTTGCCTATTGCTAGACCTCGAATTTCTGATTTGCCACATACCTTTCCAGGAAAAAAATGCGTCACACTCTTGGGACACAAAAAGAGTTTGCATCCCTAATCCCAGCAACGGTTCTGTCTGTTGCTCTTCACATGCCTACAGGGCAAAGTGGCACAGGGCTGCTCAGTGAGTGCTGGGGTGACCAGGTGGCCCTACCGTCTCACCATTGGTGTTGGGCCATAGCCCGTCCTCAAACACTGTTTTTGTTTTGTTTTGTTTTGTTTTGTTTTGTTTTGTTTTGTTTTTAACCAGAGCAGGGCCACATGGGCACCTCCCTCCTCCCTAAGCTCTCCTGCATCCCATTGATTGTCTGCAGTCACCCATCTGTCCCACCCAGAGTCTGGCACTGCAGTCACCAGCTAGTCTATTCTACTACTTCAGCCTTGCCCCAGGTGCACCTGGGACTGTAGCACTCGGACTCACAGACAGTGGGAGCAAAGGGCTTCCTAATGGTCTCTGGATCAGAGAGCCAAGCTGTAAACCATCTGTGACTGCCCTGCCTCCCCATCATCTTGTCCTCCAGCGATTGCAATGCCCTGGATACCTGCAGAGGTTACTGAGGGGATGGGGTACACTGCACCCCACTGCCCCTGGCTCCAGTGTGTCCTGGACATTATGCAGAGGGCCAAGTCAGTGCATGGAAGTGGGGTAGGGAGAGCCATGGCTCTGGGAGATACTTGCCCTTCTGGGGAGACTGAGGCTGGGGTGTGATGGAGTGCGATGGAGGGGCTGATGGAGAGCCCAGCATTGGTCAAAGGATGGACCTCAGTCACTAGCACTTCTACACGGTTATAGATATTCCAAACTCCAGGCGTTTCTGACCTGTCTGGACCTAAGACACAGACGTGGGCTTCTAGCATTACTGACCTCAGGATTTAGCTCTGGGCTGGACAAGAACTCCACCCTGCCAGTGGCCAAGCATCCTTTCTTGGTAGAACCAGGTAAGCCCTATGCCTCGCGGTGGAGCCGCCTGGCTGCTCTAAAAGGATGGCCCTGCTCTTCAGATCTGGGTGAAATAGAGGTGAGCTAAACAATTGTGGGGAAATAAAGGGAGCTCAAACCCAAAGGGTCAGATTAAAGCTGGCAGGGCCTGTTTGGATGTTGTCATGAAGGTGATTCAGGAAGACCACCAGCTTTAACTATTGGTGCCTTGTTGCTTCAGTGTCTCTCTCAAGGACCAGAGTGGCAGCGCCAGGCAGGGCAGGGAGGAACCCTAGGAGGGAAGGGTGGAGACTGAGCTTTGTCTGCTATTCCGTGTGACTCCCTCGGCAAGCTCCCCAGATGCCTGTTTGACACTTGGTGGAAAGAAGGGACCCAGAGGGCTTCCCCAACGTGCCATCCAGCCTCTGCATCTGCCAGATGCAGAGCCAGGGCACAGGGACCCAAGTTTTTAGGGCTTGTTTGCTTTTGTATTTGTCTCTAAAGTGCATTTTTTTTCTCACCCACCATGCTCAGTTTTCTTGGCATTGCTGGAACCCAGAATACTGTTTGAGACAATGACAGACCCCGTGCACTGTAGACAAATAGATGCAAACAGCTCTGGCTTCCAGCAAGCCCCAAGTAGGACACAACATGATGAGGACATTTCTCTATCTGTGCTTTTCGGTGGTTTCCTGGGAGGAGAACACCACAGCCAGTCAGGGGCACCATGAGCGAGGGGAGGCCCAGGTCCTAGGCCAGGCCAGGAGTCATGCACCTAGAAAAGTCTAGGAGAACAGAAGCCTCCCACAGAACTCCCAGGCAGGCAGAAGGGAAGCCGCATTCCTGTAATGCCAGAGGCCCAGACATTTAGAGAGAACGTCGCATTGAACTCCGCAGGACAGCAGGTCAACTTTTAGACCTCGTGGGCACTGTGTTCTTGTCTTGCTCTCAGCATAAGGCTTTTCCCGGAAGATGAAAATGTTCTTTCTCCTTAGACACTGCCCAGAAATGCTGATCTTCCTGGAATTTCTATTCAGAGCTTGAAATATTACAGAAATGTATATTTGGTGAGTTGGGCTCTGCCAACTGTTTCAGTCGCTCCTTAAGGCTAAGTTGGTGCCTAATTAGAGTAAAAATAAAGATGCAAATTGTTTCTTGGGGACCCAAATCAGAGGGTCTCTGTCTCCACCAGAGCCTGGCCCAGCCCTGGAGAGTGACTTGGGAGCCCCGTCTTGACAGGTTCTTCCCTCTCTTCTGAGACCTTCTCCCCAAGCCCTCAGCCTCCTTGGATTCCACCCACCAGACCTTCTCTGTCAGAATGGAGTGGCCCCAAGGGCAGGACTCACCGCTACCAACTGAGCTTTCCTATGTTCACAACTGGCTGCCCTGCATATTTTCCTGTTCCTACCCCTTACCCAACGTCATCTCTGGGAAGTTCTCTGGGGCAGCAGCCTCAGTGAACCCATTCTCTGTCTGCTCCCTCCAGCCCCTTGGGCTTCCCTTTCCATGCCCCTTCCTCTGATAATGATACTTAGTAACCCAGGAATCCACACTAGAAACTCCCTCAGCCCCTGTGCTCCTTCCTCTTCCTCATCACTAGATCTAAGTATTTCCTGCCTCTCTCTTACATCTTTTCCACCCTTGGCCCTGTATGCACACTCCTCTCTTGCTGGATCATCTCAGTAGCTTCCTGCAAGCTCTCCCTGCCTGCTGCATTGTGCCTCTTGCCTCCAGGACTGCCAGGAGAGTGAGCTGTCTCAAGTGCAGATCCGCCTCTGGGACCCTCCTCTCGAAGCCCACTACTGGCACAGAACAGGCTGCTTGGGAAAGATACAAGGCAAGGCTGTCCTATCAGTCCCTGTTCACCCTCCAGCCTCATCCCCATTTCTCTAGGTGCCCAGAACACCGAGTTACTCCTGCCCCTGCCATGCACAAGTACATGTGCACACACAAATGCCTGCATACACACACACTCCATGGTCCCACATGTGCACATGCACACACACACACATTACATAGTCCCACACCTCCCCCACCTGCAGTTGGCTGCCTCTTGCCTCTTGCTAATCTCCTCTGAGGTTCAAAGGCTTAGCTTGATCATCACCTCTTCCCAGCATCCTTCCTCCAAGTTCGGCATCCCCGCTTCTAGGTGCCCTTGGCACCTGGACCCACACCAACACTGGTGTGGCGTTAGCAGAACAACCAAAGATGAAATATCTACAAAAAAACTGTCAAGAAATGTGTAAGACCTATATAATGCTATTTCAATCAGAATGCCATTATTTGCCTTTTGAGCTTGACAGAATCATTCAAAAGTTCATGAAAGAATAATCAGGCTACAGTACTACATTTTTTTCAGTGAAGAAATGTCCCACCAGATAATAAAACGAAGTGTTCAAATTACATTAATTGACCTCAAATCCACTAGTATGGCTACTGTCAAAAAATCACAGAAAATAACAAGGGTTGGTAAGGATGTTTAGAAATTGGAACCCATGTGCACTACTTGGGGAACTGTGAGAGGATGTAGTTGCTAGGGAAAATAGTGTGGAGGTTCCTCAAAAACACTAAACATAGATTTGCCATATGATCCAGCAGTCCCACTTCGGGGTATATATCCGAAATAATTGAAAGCAGAGTCTTGAAGAGATATGCACATGCCCATTTTGATAGTAACATTATTCACCATAGCTCAAATGTGGAAGCAAGCCAAGTGTCTATCAGCAAATGAGTAGATAAGCAAAATGTGCTAAACACATACAGTGAAATATTGTTCAGCTTTAAAAAGAAAAGAAATTCTGTCATAGGCTACAACATGATGAACCTTGAGGATACTAAGCTTCGTGAAATAAGCCAGAGACAAAAAGGCTCATACGATATGATTTCACTTATATGACATACTGAGAGTTCTCAAACTCAGAGGCAGAAAGTACAATGGTGGTTGTCAGGGTCTGGGGAAGGGGAGATGGGAGTTATTGTTTAAAGGGTATAGAGTTGCATACGTGCAAAATGAAAAAGTTCTGGAGAATCCTTGCACAGCAATATGAATATACTTAGCACTACTGAACTCTATACTATGAAATGGTTAAGATTATGTAAATTTTATGGTGCGTGTGTGTGTGTGTTTTGCCACAATAAAAAAAAACCACATTAATTGGAAATGTAAGATTCTAGTTACTGGCATGTAGTTAACAGGCTATTCTGATTTTCTACTGTTGCATAACAGACTGCCCCCAAAACTTAGAGTTCATGGATCTGTGTGTCAGGAATTTGAAAGGGCACAGTGGGGACGGCTTATCTCTGCTCCGTGGCTCCTGGGGCCTCAGCTGAGAAGACTCACATGGCTGGGACTGGAGTCTTTGCCCGGGCTGGGCTCACTCAAAGCCTGGACCAGGAGCACCTACACGTGACCTCTCCCTGGGTTTCCTCCCAGCATGGTGTCAGGATGGCCAGACTTCACATGCCGAGGCTTCTGCTCCAAAAGTGAGTGTGAACACGGTCAAGGCTGCACGCTCTCCTGCCCCATCTCCACAGCCACTCTGGGTCAGTGCCGCAGGATTCTGTTGATTATAGGCAAGTTTCTAAGCCAGCCCAGAATCAAGGAGGCAAATTAGACTCCACTTTTGAAGGGAGGTGTATGAAAGAATGTATGAACCATACATTCAATCTGCCATGCAGACAAGTAGGTCAGAGAGAGAACTCTGACATGGATGCCAGCCCCAAGAGCCTAGTGAATGTGTGGGAGCCGGCGGGGAGAGCTGAATTAGTCAATGTAGAGCACTTTGGAAGTAGGTAGGTGGGCTATAAAGTCAATTTATACCTCCCCATTTCATAAAAAGTTCTGAATGTATTTTAAAAGCATTGATAAATAAATATTTTAAAAGCATGAATAAATTCAGCCTGAACATCTTACCAGTAATCCCAAGAGAAAAATAATTGATAAAGATTAAATATATGTACACATTCTGTACAACAGGCACTGTAAACAAAATTGAAAAGCATATAATAATCTGGAAACAAACATTTGCAACAAATTAAATGCTGCTTAATCCTCCCAGAGCAAAGAAGAAAACATAAACAACCTTATTAAAAACTGAGTTCATGCAATGGAGAAAAAGGTGGGAAGAAGTGGAAATAACTAAGAAACAAATATATGGAAAAACATACGTGCATCTTTTCTTGTTTTTTGATTTTTGTCGTTGTTGTTTTTTCTGAGATGGAGCCTCACTCTGTCACCCAGGCTGGAGTGCGGTGGCGTGATCTCTGCTCACTGCAACCTCTGCCTCCCAGGTTCAAGTGATTCTCCTGCCTCAGCCTCCTGGGTAGCTGAGATTACAGGTGCATGCCACCACACCTGGCTAATTTTTTCATTTTCAGCAGAGATGGGGTTTCACCATTGTTGGCCAGGCTAGTCTCGAACGCCTGACCTTGTGATGCACCTGCCTCAGCCTCCCAAACTGCTGGGATTACAGGCGTGAGTCACCATGCCTGGCTGTGCATCTTTACTTGTAATGATGAAAACGCACATTGAAGTTAGGGAAGATACATCTTTCCAAAATGACTGCCCAGCCTCAGAGATTCCAGTTGCTCAGTAAAGGCATTGAGGCAGCTCTTGGGATCTCTGGGGAGGTTGAATCTCCTGTCTTGAAAGTTTCACTGAAAGGTTCACTGAGGTCCTTCCCTTATATCCTTGGCCCCATAACAGAACCATTAAAACATTTCTAAGACACATGCAGAGTATGTGCATCTTGACTTCAAGTAATGAACTGTCAGAAAAAAACTAAATGTCTGTCAAAAGGGGATGGTTAAATATGATGCAGCTATCATGATGTTCTTAAAATAATGATTCCATTATTTTAAATCCCTGGCCCATTGGCCAGGGCTGTGCTGAGTATGTATTTATATGGATCAATGTCCGTGGTAAACTACTAAGGATGGAAAGCTAGAGGTGGTAAACTACTAAGGATGGAAAGCTAGAGGAAAATATGTTAAACATTTGTGTGAATATGTTATTCTCTGGGAGTGAAGTTTAAATATTTATTCAGATAATTCTTGAAAGCTGTTCTCCACATTGTTAATGGTATGTAGTCATGAGGAGTAGAATGGAAATAGGAACTTCCATGGTTTTAATTTTCTGTGCATTGGTATGATTTCAATTCATAAACATAAACATGTTGTTTTTACCATTTAAAAAAAAACCTATTTAAACACATATCTATCCTTCGGAAATAATCAGAGGTCTGGATGTAGTGGTTTGGCTACACGTTCACATTCATACCTGATTGGGGAAGGTGGAAAGCCTGGAGCCTCCTAGAAGTTGAGTGAAGGGTGTCTGTGTCAAGCATGCAATGCACGCTGTGGCTGCAGTGTGATGCAGCGGGAATCCAAGCCGTGGGCACTCACACGCATGCAGAGAAAGGTGTGCATGTGTGGGAAGGGACTGCAGGAGACGCCAGTACCACCATGAGCAGCTCCAGGCATGGAGTTACATGTGGATTTCATTTCCTATGTTATGTACTTTCCTGATTTTCAACTTGATCCTTGATTACTGTTTTGATTTGGAAAAAAACTCAAAAGTTTAGAAATTATTTTGTTGCCTCTCTCATTTGACTGAAAATCTGTTTCTTAATCATATTTTATGTTCCCACGTCCTATGCCCAGAGCCTAGCACACATTATGTGCTCAGCCAATGTTTACTCTTCCTGGGCTTCTCCTGGGCACTTCCCTGCCTCTTGAAAGAACGTGCTCTGCATTGCCCCCCAGGACTCCCAGTCTGAGGAGGCCCCTCTCCTCTGAGCATGTGTGTGCATGCTCCTGCCTGTGGCTGGCAGCCTTGGCTCTAAGCCCCACGACAGTGGATACGTTTTCAAGAGTAGTTCATTCACCATGTATTGAGGACTTGCCATTTGCTTGACCTTGTGGCAGACCCCAGAGACAGAGATGAAAGGCTGTGGTCCCTCACGGAAGAAGGGCGTTCAGAGGCCCTGCCTAGTGTGCGAAGCCTCACTTAGCTTGACACGGTGCAAAATGGCGATCCAGGTGCAAAATGGCGATCCAGGCGCAAAATGGCGATACAGGCAGGCACCGGGGCTGCAGGAGCAGGGGTGCTGCGGCAAGATGCAGCCAAGACTCAGAATGCGAAAGTGACTAGCCTGGAAGAGTAGAAAGAAGGGGTCTTCTCGGCAGAGGGTGCAAGATAGGGCAGAGGTCACAGAGGCCTCTGTGCACCTAGAAGGTGGAAGTTGGATGTGACTTCAGAATTCAGTCTGCACCAGTGGTGTTTGCTGAGATCCAGGTGCCCACACGAGAAACAACAGATGGCGTCAGACGAATTCAAGTACAGTCCTGGCTACCTGTTGCTGCCCAGGTTGCCCCAGAATGTATAGCATGAAAACTGCTGAGGGTTGGGAATATTGGAGGGGTCGGCTGGGCGCATCCAACCCCATTCTCTCAGGCAGGTGCTGTCAGAGTGTATCTGGAGCCAGAAAAGTGGGGGCCTGGGGCTACTGGGGGTCAGCCGGGTAACTGTAACCTCTGGTGTGCTGCACGTGGTCTCCCCACATGGACGACATTGGCCTTTCTCACAGCATGGCAGCCTTGAGGTATTAAACTTCGTAAGAGGAAGGCCAAGGCTCCGGTTTGAGTGTTCTAGTAAAAGACAGGTTGCATGATCTTTTCTGACCTAGCCTCAGAGGTCAGGTCACGTCACACTCCTTCTATTCAGGGTGAGTCTCAAATCCACCTGGGTTCAAGGGGAGGGAGCAGAGAGACCCCACGTTTCACTGAGAGGAGTATCAGGGCCATATCCAGGAATAGATGTGGGATGGGAAGTAGTGTTGTGTCCACCTTTAGAAAAGATGATCTGACACAGATACTGGAAAACAAAATACTCCAATTACTTGCTCTACACACAGTAGGTCTTTAGATCACAAAATAATGAAAAGTAGAGCCTTTTCTTACTAGAAATTCATCTAGATCTATTTGTTTAATACATGGATTTTCTGGAGTGCTATGGTTTGAGTATGGATTATTTATTCCCACCAAAACTCATGTTGAAATGTGATCCCCAGTGTGGCAGTGTTTGGAGGTGGGGCCAGTGGGAGGTGTTTGGGTCATGGGGGCAGATTCCTCATGAATGGCTTGGTGCTATTCTTGAAGTGGTGAGTTCTTTCTTCCTTGAGGCTGGATTAGCGCTCCAGCCAGAGCAGGTTGTTATAAAGAGGGTTCCTCCTTCTGTTTGGTCTCTTTCCCTGCGTTTACGCTTCCCTTTTGACCATCTCCGCCATGTTATGATGCAGCACAAAAGCCCTTACCAGAAGCCGGGGCCATGGCCTTGAACTGAGCTAAATAAACCTCTTGCCTTTATAAATTACTCAGTCTCAGGTATTCTGTTACAGCAACACAAAACAGACTAAGACACATAGTCTTAATTATTTTCCATTGTCTGTATAAATTCTTAGTGTGTCAACTTGTTCTTTAAAAGTATATTCTAGAGTGTGGTGCTATACTTGAGTCCATAATGCAGAATCTGGGACATAGATTTATAGCACCAATTTTGTCCATTAGATGGATGCGTTCGTCATTACATAAGGGAATTATAGGTCTTTGGAATTTTGTTCAATTCCGTCTCTCTCCAACGTTTTCACTAAAAAGACAGAAAGGAAAAGTGGGAAAAATTTTGAAGTTTCAGGTCCTTGTAGATCAGTGACTTCTCCAGACTTATGCAGAAATCAGTGGCAAAGCTAATTTCGATATAATTTGGATACAGTTTTTTTTTATTGCCTTCTTGTTTTCTTTATTTCGTACGGTAATATCTCCTTTAAAGAAAGAGCCCTTTTAGCAAGTGTGTGTATACAACATAGAAATAGTACCACAACAAATGACAGAAGACCGAACATGGCTGAGTGTTATTTAGGAGCTGAACAATGGAGTTTTCCATACCTGGAAGAGTCTGGAAGCAGGAGCTACTGACTCAGTAGCTCAGTGCGGTTGGAGCTGGATCTGTATAGTCCTTGTGGTCTTTCCTGGCTCCCAGATGGCTGCTACTGCCCCCGATATCACATATGAGGTCAAGACAAGAAGTGAAAAAGGTGGACAGAGACCCCCCCAGGAGACATCTTTGGCCCAAGCTGTGTCTCATGGCCACCCTTGGTAATAAAGTATGGGGTACACGTGAGGATTTCATGAGAACTTAACTCTTCCAACCTCCAGGTGAAGGTGGGCAGGGTGAAGCACTGACGTTCAGCAGTGGGTCCTCCACTCAGCCAGGGAGTGTCACCCCAGCTCTCAGTGACAGGCGTGCCAAGGCCACATCACAGGGTAGGTGTGGGAAGGGAAGACTGGGTGTATTTATGAAGTCAAAAGAACAGTCAGTGGTTTGCTGGTGGGTGTGAAGTTGGGTGTGGTGTGTGGGCAGGACGGCACAAGAGAGGGCAGGGTGGGTGCTGGAGAGGCGGCAACCCCCATGCCTGGGCTGGGTAGCCAGGTGGAGGCCCTGGGCTGATGCCATTGCTGCTGATCCATAGACTTTGAGTAGCACGGGTCCAGAGTGATTCTCAAGTTTCGCTGCATGTTAGATTAACCTGGGGTTATTTAACAATTGGTTTATATACAAATAATGTAAAGACCAAAAATTGAGTTTAGTCCATAATATTAAAGAAGCAGCTGAATCAGTTTTGCTTACTGAAATTATCTGTTCAGGTACCATTCCTCAAACTCTAATGCACGCACACAACACCTGGGGATTTGCAGGCACGCGAGCTGTGGTCCAGTGGGTCACTGGAACCCGAGAGTCTGCATTTCTTTTTTTCTTTCATGTATTTATTTATTTATTTAATTTTTTTTTTTGAGATGGAGTCTCTCTCTGACACCAGACTGGAGTGCAGTGGCATGATCTCAGTTCCCTGAAACCTCCACCTCCAGGGTTCAAGCAATTCTCCTGCCTCAGCCTCCTGAGTGTCTGGGACTACAGGTGCGTGCCAACACGCCCAGCTATTTTTTGTTTTTTTAGTAGAGACCAGGTTTCACCATGTTGGCCAGGATGGTCTCGATCTCCTGACCTCGTGATCCACCTGCCTTGGCCTCCCAAAGTTCTGGGATTACAGGCATAAGCCACCGCGCCAGGCCGAGAGTCTGCATTTCTAACAAGTGCCAGTGATGACAGTGCTGCTCTCCCGCAGGACACGCTTTGAGCAGCCAGGGAATCACGGGCCAAGGTTAGCGGGGAGGGTCGGTGGGTGTAGGGTGGGGGTTTGAGAGTAGTTGTCCCTGGCTGGGCCACGGGAGGGAAGAAATGGCTTCAGGTGGAGAAGCTAGCAACACAGAGCTTGCAGACTTTCACTTATGGTTTAATTTGCCTTAAGTAAACTTATATAACCTGGATTTTGGGTCAAGAAATATAATGCTTAAAATTTGTCTTATGTAACAATATAATAAAAAACAAATTTTTACCATCCTTTTATTTAAACATTTGGAGGTAGAAAATCAGTGCTGTAGTTGGCAACTGCTGTGCTTCTAGGTTTACTGAGGTGAGTGTTGCAAGAGACACAGCAAGAGCCCAGGCTCACAGGGGATGATGGTCCAGATGCCAGCTCTGTCCCTTACAGCCCCATGGCCATGCTGAGTTATCTGCTCTGGTTCCCCCATCTCTAAGTGAGAGTTGAGTGCTATTATCTCAAGAATGTGAGTAATGCCTTGCAAAGGGTCCAGCACGCTTTTTTCATACGGTGGGACTAAATAAATGAATCCATGTCCACATGGAAATGCACACAGGTGTGTTTGTGTACATGTGTATGTGTGTGTATAAGTATGCATCGACGCATGCTAATCTTCCTTCCTTCTGGAATATTTGGCCCCATGTGATGTGTTTGTAACAGGGGCTGCAACACTTCCTCTCATCCTGCTGCACACAGCCCTTGGCACAGTGACATTGCCACAGCTCCCGTCAAGAAGAGGAGGTCCTGGGATGTGGATCTGGACTGAACCCATAACTGTCTTGGAGCACTAGAAGGAAGCAAAAGTGGCGATAGACCCTTTCTGAGGTAGTGCAGCCAGCAGCTGTCACTCACCGCCAGACACGTCGATGAGGCTGTAGTGTGCCGATCTACTCCAGCTGACTGCGGCTTCATCAGTGGCCCCAGGAGAGACCAGCCAAGAATCAAGCATCCCAGCGCAGCTTCGCCTGCCATCCCAGAAAATAAGATGACTCCATTTTAAGCCACCAACTCTTAGGGTGGTTGGTTGCACAGCAAGTAATAACACATAGCTAGAAAAAAATGAGCTAGAAATATCTCTGCATAATACTCTATATTTACACTCAACTCAACAATATAGCCCTTGAGTAAATGTTGGAAGGGAATTCAGCTGGTCATTTATTGCTCCTGCAGAGAAGAAATGTGAGAAATAATTCAGCCGGGATCCTGGCCTTGGTAAAAGGCAAGACACCATTCGAGGCACTGCATTCACAATGAACCAGACATGAGAGGCAAACAGACATTTCCCAATTGTGCACGCATACAAAGTGCTTCACACAGTGCCTTGTGGGGTGCCCCTGCTTCTCTTCAGTGCTCCACGTCTGCTCGTAACTCACTTAGCTCTCACTACCTGGTGGTGTGCTAGAACAGTGGGAGACCAGCTGGACAAGCCCCAGAGTGGGGAGCAGAGGGAACAGTTCATCCACTTCAAGCCCTTCTGCAAGCTCCAGGCACAAACTGATGAAGGACAGAATTCTTTTGTCCTGCCGGAGCCAGTGGGTGTGAACACCGGAGGAGCCATCCCCAGGCATCACATTGGCTCCTGCCCAAGAAAGGTGAGTCCCCGTTTGTTCAGCCTTTGCCAAGAACTCTATACCGCAGGGAGGCCCACGGTGTCTCATCGATGAGCTAAGTGGGACCAAGGTGTGAGTGTTTCACAGAACAGAAGTTAAATATGGAAGACTCTTCCTGCCTGGACTCTCAGCTGAAATACCTCTCTGGTATCTGCTGATGTCTTTAATGCCAGGCCTGGTGCCAGAGCATCCCTGGGTGCTCGGAGGAAAGGGACACGCCTCGCTCCACAGCTCTGGAATGGAGCATCGGTCCTGGGGTCAGGATTTTCCTCCTGTTCTATGTGAAAAGCCTCTTCCCCTGTTAGTCATCATTTCCCTGCTGTGACTGAGCCCTGTCCCTTGGTCTTGGCAAGTCTAAGCCCCTGTGGAGGCTGAGATTCCCGCAGGTGTCCTGACCCAGAACTGAATATCCAGCTTCTTTTAGAAGGCAGTGTTCTAGAAATGTGGAGGCCACGTTCCCGTCTGTATGCATGCACGCACACAGACTCCTGGGGGCATACAGACACATGCACACACCATACTCAGACACACAGACACATACATGCACACATACAGTCACATGGACACAGACACTTGTATGCACACTGCCACATAGATACACACGCACACACAGACACAGACATGCATGCACACACATGCTCACAGGGACAAGCACAGTCACATGCAGGCACACACAGACACATGGGCACATAGATATAGATGCATGTGCACACACACAGGCGCATGCATGCATACACAGACATGTGGACACAAGATACAGGTACATGCACACACAGACACATGGACACACAGACACATAGACACATGCACACACAGAGACGCATGCACACAGACACATGCAAGTACACATGGATGGATGCACAGACACATAGACACAGATACATGCACACACACAGACACACATGCACACATATGCTCAGAGGGACAGGCACAGATACATACGGGCACACACCATAGTCACATGACCACATAGACACATAGACACATAGACACATAGATACAAGCACACACACAGATGCATGCACATAGACACATGCACGCACACATGGAAGGACGCACAGACACATGGACACATAGACACAGATACATGCACACACACAGACACACATGCACACATATGCTCAGAGGGACAGGCACAGATACATACGGGCACACACCATAGTCACATGACCACACAGACACATAGACACACAGACACATAGATACAAGCACACACACAGACGCATGCACATAGACACATGCACGTACACATGGAAGGACACACAGACACATGGACACATAGACACATATACATGCACACAGAGACGCATATGCGCACATATGCTCACAGGGACAGGCACAGACACAGGCACACATCATAGTCACATGACTATACACAGACATATATGAATGCACACGCACATGCTTAAACAGACATACATTCACCACACACACATACATGGACACAGAAATGCACACACAGACGCACTCATCCCCTGAACAGTAACCGCCCACCTCTGTGACTGTCACTGCAGCATGGAGGGAGGAGGCAGTTGCCACTGGGGAACCAGGGGCCTCAAGTCAAAGGACAGTGTGTGGTTCAAGGACAGACAAGAACAAGAAGTTCCAACCACAGGCAGTGGAGTGCGTTAAGAAGCGCCGTGGGCTGTTTTGTGTCGTCACCGAGCAGGCCTGGCTGCCAGTGGCTGCAGTGCATTGGCGCCCGGGTTCATCTGGTGAGGGTGAGGCGTGCCATCTGTGTGTGGCCCCCGAGCTGAATCCACCACATCTGCTCTCACAAATAACAGAAGAGAGAGGCAGGGGGTGCGCAGCCAGGGACAGGGATCAGAGAGGCACCCTCCAGGATACCTTTGGGGCCCTGCACCCTTTCCTGTTCCATCCGCACGCTCTGGGCAGTGACAGGGACAGGGCAGAAGGCCCAGGGGAGTGCCTCTGTGGGGTCTGATGTGTTGTGGAGGGATCAGTGTGTGTCCATGCCTGAAAGAGGAACACGCAGATCACAGTTTCCAGAGTACTTTATGTAAAGCTCATCTTTGCGGCTTCTTGATTTTTATTTATAGAGAGCTATTTCACCTAAAATAGCAGTTACGCCTTGCCTATGAGCCCACGAGGATGGGATTTGCTTGTGGAAGTTTGGAAGTGAAGAGAGGCCTAGAGGAGGGGAAACCAAGTCACAATCCTCATGGGAAAGGTGGTTTGGGGCTGCTGCAGGCAGTGGAAGGAGCTGGGCATAAAGGAGGCTATGCCTGGGGCTCTGCTGCCAGTGTGCCCGGGCTTGGATCCTGGCTTGCCCCTAGCCCTTGGGAGATCATTTAACCTCTCTGTGCCTCAGTTTCCTTATGAATGAAGAGAGCACACCAGTTACACCTCCATGGTGTCGTCAGGATAATTACCTGGATGAGAGATGTGCAGTGCTCAGCAGAATTGGCATGAAGCAGGGCTGAGCATGACAGCTGTGGCTAGGACTCCTTATGTGGGGCCTCAGCCAAGGCTAGCACCAGGGAATGAGCTGATTGGAGCCCATCATATGGCAGGTGAAGCTCTGCTAGGAACCTGGAAGTGCCAGGCTCCAGGGCGGCACAGAGGAGGGCAGGCAGATGCCAATCAGCAATCCAAGCTGCACAGTCTGGAAATTTGCACCAGTCTGAGTGGAGGTAGAGCCAGGGAGGAAGTAAATCCCGGAGGAGAAGGCCTGGGCCAACATGTTAGAGCCCAGCAGCAGTACTGGGCCCACGTATGGAGGTGCCATGGAGTCATGGCCCCTGGAGCTCCTCGTGCATCTGGTTGCTGTGGCAGGTAAGGGTTGGCCATTGAGGTCCAGGGCCAGGAAAGGACAAGCGCCATGGTGTGCAACAACCCCTATGGGACTGATAGTAAAACATACAGAAAATAATGTTTCAATAGCAAGCACTGCTGCCTCGGTCCGTAAGATGCTAACCTGTTGGCTACAGTGAGTGTGAGGTCAGCTGCAATCCATTTTGGGAATTCTTTGAAGGCCAAATGGTGACTCGTGGAATACTTAATAAAGCAAAGTTAAGGGTTGCCCCTGGAGAACAGAGGTCTGTACAGACTGGGAGAGCAGCCAGGAGAGGACAGGATGCTGGAATCTTTTTGCAGGGCCAGTCATGTCCGAACAACACCAGTTCACTTGCCGTAGGTTGACAGGTGCAGCAGATGAAAGAGTGGCAAACCTCAGATGCTATTGCCTTGATGTTATTAGCTCCTGATTCTGACAGCGCAGGGCCTGGCCCAGGGCACAGCCGCGCACAGGGTTAGCAGCATGCCCTGCTGCAGGAGGGAGTTGCCTTGTCACCATCCCCATAGCAGACCCAGGACAAGGTCCATCACGTTCCTGATGCCAGGGAATGTGACATGTACATCCCTCAGTGGCTTCCAGGTGCAGACCCAACACTGACACTGACCTTATAGTCAAATGGCAAAGTAGAAAATCCAACCATAACATCAGCAAAGGACACTAGCTTGACAGCACTTTGGAGTATCTGGAGGAAATTAAAAGTATGGTTATGCTCGAAGAGATTTCACTGAGTCACAAGTCTCTGGGCTCCTGGGCACATCAAGATTTGTGTCGTGCACTTTCTGGGAAGAAAATATAATGGAAAATGGGGACCTTCCATCAGGAAGTTGATAGTTTCCTTCAGTGCAAGTACTCTTTGGAAACAAAAGCAAAACAAAACAAAAACGATAAAAAATACAAGAACAAGAAATGCTGAAGACAGGTGGAAGGAATGAAAATAGGCCTGAAGCAGGCACGTGCCCTAGGCAGAGCAAGGCACACACCTGCTGAGAGGACCCCACCAACAGGTGACCCAGCCCGGAGGCTCCCAGCCAGCTCCGTGTGAGCAAATCTTCCCATCCCGTTGAGTCCGTGTCCACAGCGAAACTCCAGGCACCGCAGGGACGCTGGGGAGAACCTTCTCCATCCACACCCCCTTGGAATGTGCCCACCCCTTTTCGCTGTTCTGGTGGGCTTTTGGGTTCTTGTCAGGGTTGGGGCTCCGCCAAGTAGCCACAGTGAACACAGAAAGCAGCCCTTGAGCCTGGCCTTCAAAGAGAGTTGCTAAGGGGTGACTAGGAGATGAGGAGGGTAGGCTCAGCCCTGCCGCTTCTGCTGTCTGGTTGGAGATCAGCTGCTGGCCACCGCAGGGGACATGTGCATTGTCATCTATCTTGGGAAAGACTTTGGTAAACCTCCAAGTTTCAAAGGAAAAACAAAACCTCACAGTGGCTCCCCTGCAGGATAAAGGACAGCACCGCCTTCTGTTTTCTTCAGAGGCTGGCTTGAGCCAGGTTTGCATAATCCCCCGCCTAGCCCTGAGCTGGAGAGAGAGTGTAAGAGCAGCTTCAGGTCGGATCCTTACATCCTTAGTGCAGTTCCCCCCAACCATCCCCTCCACCTCTCCTTCCCCGTTACATTGCTGGAGTGTGAGAGGCCTCCATGGCCAAAGGGCTTCCCAGGGGAGGGGCCCAGCACCCAGCTTACCACCTGCACATCCAGCCCACTTTCTCCCTCCTCCTTCCCCTTTACCTTGCCTCTCCTTGCATCCGGCCAAAGTCCCACTCTGCCCTTCTACCTGAAAGCCAAATCCTCTAAGCAAAAGAATGGACACATTTTGCAAAGTGGCAGGAATTCAAGGTGCTGATGCACACGATGCTGGGCATGGCTTTGTGTGAGATTGAAGCAGTGGTGGGGATGATCCTGCTGTGCTAATTTCACTAACGCCTGGAGAAGAGAAAATCTACAAAGCCTCAGGCAGGTAAGGGATATTGAAATTCAAGGCCATCAAAATATTGAGATGCCCTCAGAAAATTTAGAGAAGCCTTTGAATATTTCTGCATAAGTCATTCTCTTTCCTGTTTCTGTCAAAGTCAGTTTCGTTGGAAAAATTACACAAGCAAAAAACCTTAACGACACTTGATCATTTTTCACTCCAACAATTAGCACATACTTATAATTATAATTC